AATAAGAAGAGGGACCAAAGTAAGGCCCGCGAGAGCGCTTCCTTAGAACCGATGGTGGCAGAGTTTGGCGAGAAGTTGGAAAGGGTCCAGCACGACTTCAAGACGTTGGAGGACCATGTCTTGGAGCAAGTTAACACACTCAAAGGAAATGCCGAAGAGACCAACAACGAGGTGGAAGCTCGGTTCATACAGCTAGAGGATATGATCCAAGCCGTCTGTGAAAGCATCGAGGGGATGCGGGAGGACTTGACGCTCTGCAAGAGAGCCGCTGTTAACGGGGGTGCTAACCATGTCTCCACCCCGACTGCCCCAAGTCGCAAGGGTTCAACGGGGCAAGAGACTCCAAGGAAGTCGAAACTACCTATGGCGGATGGAGCAATACTTCGAGGGAATCGGCCTTAATGACGAGGCCGCCAAGGTAAAGACCGCTGCCTTATATCTTTCCGATACTGCTATGTTATGGTGGCGTAGGAAACATGCCGACATCGAGCGAGGAGCTTGTCGGTTAGACACGTGGGATGAGTTCAAGAAAGAACTCAAGAAGCACTTCTATCCCGAGAATGTGGTTTACGAGGCTCGCAAGAAATTGCGGGAGTTGAAGCAACGGGGTATTATGCGGGACTATGTGAAAGAATTCACAACCCTTATGCTTCAAATTCCCAATATGTCCGAAGAAGATCTCTTGTTCTATTTCATTGACGGACTACAAGGATGGGCCAAGCAAGAGATGCACCGTCGGGACATTAAAACGGTTGATGAAGCCATTGCCATCGCCGAGTCACTCGTCGACTTCCAACCATACTCCCACACCAATGCGGCGAAAAACAAGGATAAATATCTAGCCAGAGGTGGGGGAGAACGACGGGAGAACAACCAAGGCAACCGAGATCGAGATCACCGAAGGCCACAAGCTAAAAAGGGAGATCGAGATCGACGTCCGGGCCGAAGGGACTACGAAGAGAAGAAAAAGGCCTTCATTCCTAAAGGAGGATGCTTCTTGTGTAAAGGGCCGCATCCGATGAATAGTTGTCCCAAACTTAGTTCTTTGTCCGCCATCGTTGATCGTCAAGACACAGTCTCAAGCCGAGATGGGATCACTCCAAGTTCTAAACGCCTTGAAGGCCAAGTCGTTGACTCCAACACCGAGTAATGGACTCATGTATGTGGAAGCGGTGATCAACAAGAAGCTGACAAGAGCCATGGTGGACACGGGAGCTACCCACAACTTCGTGTCCAAAGATGAAGCCAACCGTTTGGGCCTGAAGTACACTGAGAGCACATGATGGCTCAAGACGGTAAATGCACAAGCGACACCATTCTATGGCGTGGCACGAGGGGTCGAGCTACGCTTAGGCACTTGGAAGGGCCAAATGAACTTTTCCATCGTTTCCATGGATGACTTCAAGGTCGTTTTGGGGTTGGACTTCCTTCGATAGGTAACCGCTTTCCCTATGCCTTCCTTTAGTTCTGTTTGTATCTTGGAGAAAGGGTCTCCTTGCATGATCCCCACGGTCGAGGCACCAAAAGAGCAAGGTCGAGATGCCACACAACTCTCGGCCATACAACTTGGTAAAGGCATTAAGAAAGGGGACATTACTTACTTGGCCATCCTAAAGGAAGATGACGAGATCGAGAAAACGGATGACCTACCATTGATCATCCGTGAAGTCTTAGAGGAGAACAAGGACGTGATGCCGCCCGAGTTACCAAATAAACTTCCACCAAGGCGTGAGGTGGATCACAAGATCAAGTTGGAACTCGGTGCCAAGCCGCCTGCCCTGGCACCCTACCGAATGGCCCCACCAGAACTTGAGGAACTTCGAAGGCAACTCAAGGAGCTAGTTGATATGGGAATGATTCGACCTTCAAAGGCACCGTATGGCGCACCGGTACTCTTCCAAAAGAAACACGATGGGTCATTGCGCATGTGCGTCGATTACCGGGCACTTAACAAGGTAACCATTAAAAATCGCTACCCGATCCCTTTGATTGCCAATTTATTTGACAGACTTGGAGGAGCCAAGGTGTACACGAAGATGGACTTGCAAAAAGGCTACTACCAAGTTCGAATAGCAGAAGGCAACGAGCCAAAGACTGCATGCATCACCCGATACGGATCGTACGAGTAGTTGGTCATGCCCTTTGGTCTAACCAATGCACCGACGACGTTTTGTACGCTCATGAACAAGCTCTTCCAACCGTACTTGGACCAGTTCATGGTGGTGTACTTGGACGATATCGTGGTATACAGTAACTCCATCAGAGAACGTGTAGACCACTTGAGAATTGTGTTCAAGATACTTCGAGAAAACGAGCTGTACGTCAAGAAGGAAAAGTGCACGTTTGCCACCGAGGAAGTACACTTCCTTGGACATGTAATAGGCCACGGGAAGCTATTAATGGACAGGAACAAAATCAAGGCCATAACCGAGTGGGAGCCGCCGACCAAGGTAAGTGAGATGAGGTCCTTCTTTGGTCTAGTAAATTATTATCGCCGGTTTATACAGGGCTACTCGACGCGAGCATCACCATTGACGGACCTACTCAAGAAGGGGAAGGCATGGGAGTGGTCCGAACAATGTCAGAAGGCCTTTGAGAACCTGAAGGCAGCAGTTAGCCAAGAACCTGTCTTGGCCTTACCCGACTTTACCATGTCGTTCGAGGTGCATACCGATGCATCCGACTTCGCTATCGGGGGAGTATTAATGCAAGAGGGGCATCCGATAGCATTTGAGAGCCGCAAGCTGAATGACACCGAGAGGCGGTACACGGTGCAAGAGAAGGAGATGACAACCATCATCCATTGCTTGCGGGTATGGAGACATTACTTACTCGACGCGCACTTCACCATCAAGACCGACAACGTGGCGACGAGTTACTTTCAGACCCGGAAGAAACTATCACCAAAACAAGCTAGGTGGCAAGACTTCCTAGCCGAGTTTGACTACACGTTGGAATACAAGCCGGGCAAAGCCAACGTTGTAGCCGATGCCTTAAGTCGAAAGGCGGAGCTCGCCGCGATCTCTCTAGCCAAGGGAATCGTGTTGGAGTGCATCAAGGAGGGCCTTGAGCAAGATCCAATGGCAAGAGAATTAGTAAAGCTGGCTAGCGATGGCAAAACCCAACGGTTTTGGGTAGAGGACGGTCTACTCTACACCAAGGGACGACGAATTTATGTTCTAAAGTGGGACAACTTAAGGCGAGATCTTGTCAAAGAGTGTCACGACACCAAGTGGGCTGGTCATCCGGGTCAAAAGCATACTATGGCGTTGCTAGAGACAGCATACTTTTGGCCCCATATGAAGGATAGCGTGGAGCTTTACGTGAAGACTTGTCTTGTGTGCCAACAAGACAAAGTAGAGAACCGACAGCCGACGGGATTTCTCGAACCTTTACCAATTCCCCAAAGACCTTGGGATTCAATCACCTTGGATTTCATTAGTGCATTACCCAAGTCCGAAGGATACGGTTCGATCATGGTCGTCGTGGACCGATTTTCTAAGTATGGGACTTTCATACCATGCCCCAAAGATTGCACTGCGGAGGAGTCCGCGCGAGCGTTCTTTAAGAACGTTGTAAAGCATTGGGGCCTACCAAGGAGCATCATCAGTGATCGAGACCCTCGATTTACCGGACGCCTTTAGACGGAATTGTTCAAGCTCCTTGGCACCGAGTTAAATTTCTCCACAAGCTTTCACCCTCAAACTGATGGGCAGACCGAACGGGTGAACGCCTTGTTTCAGTGTTATTTGCGGCACTTTGTGAGTGCTAACCAGCGAGATTGGGCTAAATTGCTAGACGTCACCCAATTCTCTTATAACTTACAGCGAAGTGAAGCCACAGGCCGGAGTCCGTTCGAGCTTGCGACCATACAACAACGGCTCACGCCACACACACTGACAATGCCACTTGACGAGGGTAAGAGTCTCGGGGCCGCCAAGATGGCTAAGTCATGGGAGGAGAACGCCGACATCGCCCGCGCATGTTTGGAGAAAGCACGAAAGAAGATGAAAAAATGGGCGGACGAGAAGAGGCGACATTGAGAGTTCTACGTTGGAGACCTAGTCTTTGTGAAGCTTTTGCCACAACAATTCAAAGCCCTCCGAAGCGTTCACAAAGGACTAATACGGAGATACGAGGGACCATTCCAAGTACTTGCCAAGGTGGGAAAAGTGTCTTATCGCTTAGACTTGCCAAGTACACTTAAGATTCATCCGGTCTTCCATGTAAATATGCTCAAGCCATATCATGCCGACAAGGAAGACCCAAGCCGAGGGTATTCGCATCGAGCACCTCCCGTAGTAACCAAGTCTTATGACAAAGAGGTGGAAACGGTGCTCACAAGCAGGACGGTCCGCAAGAGAGGAGTCCCACCGCGTACCTAGTATTTAATCAAGTGGAAATGACTACCAGAGTCCGAGGTAACATGGGAACTAGCTGAAGACTTGTGGCAGTTCGAAGAACATCTCAAAGCGTACGAGGCGACGAGGACAACGCAAGAATATGTGGGGGAGAATGTCACGAAATTAAGCCTTTTCCCCATACTTTGGGCTATTTTGGCTATGTTGGGCCACATTTGGTCTTGGAGGTTGATAGAATAGTGTAGATTATTCTAGAACACTCAAAACTTGTACATATTCTAGAAGCATTCTAGAGTCTTCCATGTTAGGTAGGAAATAATGGAGAATTCTAGAGAATCTCTCCCTACCGTAGGATCAAATCAATCTCCACCGTCCATTGAGGAGGTGAGATGCTATAAATAGGTGTAGAATCCTCATTTGTAAATCATCCAAGAGTTGTAAGCATTCAAGCATTCAACAAGCTTTCTCTCTAAGTTCTTTCCTTTCTTCTTTGTTTCCTTGCCAATCCTTTCTCTAGCACGAGTTCGAGTGAGGCTGACTTAGCTATCGAGATGGGAGAAAAGGAGCTAAGGTCGCACGAGGCTTATTGAGCGATTAAGTCCGTGGCAGCGCTCAAAATTACAGGGAGAATATTAGAGCATGGCAACGGGTGAAGTGAAAGTTTTAAGTTATTGGGTGAGTCCATTTGTGATGAGGACGAGGATTGCCTTTAACATCAAATGTGTCAAGTATGAACTTGTTGGCGTTAACATTCTCGAAGCCAAAAGCGAGCTTCTTCTCCGATCAAATCCCGTTCACAAGAGAGTCCCAGTTCTCATTCATGGCCATCATCAGCCGATCTGCGAATCTCTAATAATCATGCAATACATCGACGACACTTGGTCTTCCGGTCCTTCCATTCTTCCTTCCAATCCCAAAGAACGTGCCCTCGTTCAGTTTTGGGCTGCATATCTTGACGAAAAGGTCTTCACAATTTCTTTTTTTTTAGAAAATAGATTACTGCAAAACAAAACATTAGTATTGACAGAAAAAAATAATTCAAACGAAATAAATCAAATCATAAACGTGTTATGTTTGAATTATTGTCTTAAAAGTAAATTCATTCTAAATGGTGTTATTTTGTTGTTGTGCAGTGGTTCCCAGCCATGAAAAGCATTCTGGCTCACGGAGAGGAATCAACAATAGCAAAATTGGGAGAAGGGCTGGCTCTAATGGAAGAAACAATAAAAAAATGCAGCAAAGGGAAGGCTTTCTTTGGTGGGGATGAAATCGGGTACCTTGATATCGCATTCGGAAGCTTGTTGGGATGCTTGAGGGTGACTGAGATGTTGAATGGGATGAAGTTACTTGACGAACCCAACACACCTACTCTAGTTAGTTGGGCAGACAGGTTCTGCTCCCATGCAGCTGTTAAGGATGTTATGCCCCACACTCACAAGATTGCCAAGTTTTTTTAGATGTATTTTCGCAAACTTGAGTCCAAAATATGAGCTCAATATATAAACATTAATAATTCTGTCCCGAAATTTATTTGTCAGAATAAATACATAATTTTATGTGGGGCTAAATTTTTAGAATATTGTGTTAGAAAAAATAAATTGCTCGAATAATATACCGATGAGATTATTTGCTGTAATAAGGTAAATGCTACATTGATCTTCATAGGTCGACAAGAGCACACGGTGACTTCCATGGTCGTACTCCAACTCTTGTGTTTTCTCTTCTCTAGCTTCTTTTACTCTTCCCTAACCTCTAGAACATAGTTTCCTTCTTTCCGGTGATTCAATCAACCAAAAACAGAGCTTTACTTTTCACCATGAGAATTTTTCTTTTTTGAACAAATAAAGATTTACAAAACAACAACCGAACCAGATTAAGAAGTAAAAAGAGAACAATAGAAGAATTGTTGTTGATAAAATGGTTATGGTGAGTGTCCAAAAGTAAAAAAAAGTAAGAATGGGCAGAGGGAGAGAGGGAGAGGGAGAGAGAGAGAGAGAGTAGTGCTTTGATGGGCTATTGCTTTAGCTTTTTAGTGTTTTATTTATTTAATACATGTCGTTCAGCTTGCATGACGACTTGTACAGTCGTTTAGACCACCTAACAACATATGGAGGTCACTGTATTATTTACCTTATTACATCAAATAATATCATCAGTATGTTAGGTCATGTTATATTAAAATTTTAGAATTGTACCAAAAAATTATTAAAATTTTAGAAGTGTAAAAAGTATAAAATCCTAAAGGATATTAGATTAGTCAACAATCTCTATAGCAATGATTAAAAGTTTTGAAAATTTATCACCCTTTTATAGTGTGAGTTCAATACTTTTAGGTGTAAAATCACACTTAATATATAGTTTTAGTTTTATTTTGATCATCTAACATTAAAAAATTAATGATGATGATGATGCATCACCACAAGGTACACACCATCATTGATAATAATTCACGTCTATAGTTATGTTATTTTAAAATTTTAACGATAAATTAAAATTTTAGGTATGATTTTGTAAAAAAATATATATTTTGATAATTAAATACAATAAAAGTGATAGTTTAAATATTAAATGTTTAGTTTACCCTTGAAAAATAGATCAAAATAAGTTTAAGAAAATAAAATTAAGATCATATAATTTGAAAATTGTGTTCAAATATGACAAAAACAAAAAAAAAATGATTAATTTGTTTGAATAATATATTTGTTCAAGGACTTAAATTTATTGTCTTGGGCAAAATTATTTTGTTATAATATAATATCTTTTATATAATTTTATATGAACTTTTATAAAATTTTGGTTTTTTTTGTTAGATAGAATTTGTGAGTTTTTATAATTTTATAAGATTAAACTACGTATTTAGTACCTAAACTATTAACTTTAGTCCGTTTTAATACCTAAAATTTTAGTTTTTGTTTCAATTTATTACCCACCATTAAAAACTTAACGTGTTTAGTACCTAAACTATCAGTTTTGATCCGTTTTAGTATCTAAACTTTTAAATTTTTTTAACATTTAACGTTAAATTTTGAATGATTATACTAAAATTAAACAAAAACAAAATTTTAGATATGGTTTTGTAATCACCATTTTCGGCCAGTATTAATTATTACTATTATTATTAAAATTGATATTTATTATTATTATTATATTATAATTAATTAGCTGACTCTATTCCCATATACAATGGGGTAAGGGGGAGGTAGGGTAGTAGACTGCCCCCAACGCCAGGTTGAGAGCAACTTCCGTGAAAGACCTCCGTTATGAATTGCCCTCAGTAGGACTTGATCCCACGACCACAAGGTTTCGAGTCCCACGGTGGGCATTTCATAATTCTGACTATCGGAGGTCTTCAACGGAAGCTGCTCTCAATCTGGCGTTGGGGGCAACTTACTACCTTACCTCCCCTCACCCCATTACATATGAGAATATGGTCAGCTAATTTTTTATATTATAATTAATATTTATTATTATTATTATAAAAAATACAAGCCATCATGAATCATCAATTATATCTCTTCGTTTAGGGATAAATGGTTTACAACCGATACAAACCAAATGTAGCCATCAGCATATTGCATTGGATTCTGGTTTGTAATAAGTAGTGTGAGTTGGTAAGTCCATTCTCCTTGTATCTGCACCATCTGTTTGTAACACCTTCGATTTGTGCCCTAGAAAGTTGACTATACTTGTGACTTCATCTTCAAAAGAACACACGCCTTGTGCAAGTATCGGTAAAAGGTCGGATAATAAAATAACCCATTGAAACGCATGGGTGCAGGTCCCATATGTCTGCTACCACTAACTCCAAAGGTGCAAGTCCCCATACTCCAAAAAATATTCTTCTCACTTCCTCTTCAAAAAGATATATTCGGGTTAGGGGTGTAGAAGTGTTACAATTATTCAAAGCCCTGAAAACAATTATATGACTCGTCCCGGTTAGGGGTGTGAATGAATCGAACTTAACTAAATAAGATTGTGGTCGTGGTTGTTTGTTTATTTTTAAATGAGAAAATCGCCTCAGTGACCAAAAAAAAGTTATAATATACGATTTTAACCAACTTTTTTTGGATTTGCGAAAATGACCAACAAAATCGCAACGCGAAATAAAAATCGCAACGCGATTTAGAAAATCGCAACCGTGATTTAGAAAATCGCAACGTTGAAAAGAAAATCGCAACGGTCAAAAGAAAATCGCAACGCGATATTCCAAGAATCGCAATGCGATATTCCAAGAATCGCAATGCGATTAAGAGAATCGCAACGCGATCTTCCAAGAATCGCAATGCGATTCAGAAAATCGCAACGCGATTCCAAGAATCGCAACGCGATTAAGAAAATCGCAACGCGATTCCAAGAATCGCAACGCGATTCAGAAAATGAGTAAATTCTTTCAAAAGCTATTGTATTTGTTTCTTTCTTAAGAATTTTCTCTAAAAAGATAGTATCCGCGCGGACGTGTCGAAGACACGTATTACCACGACCACGACCACGACCACGACCACGACCACGACCACGACCACGACCACGACCACGACCACGACCACGACCCGAGACGAGACGAGACGGCGGCGGCGGCGCGCGAGAGTCCCCCTTGTTCTCTTTCACTCAACAAGGAAATGGGAAATCCAAGCCTTAAATACTCTTCCCAATAGTGTTTCCAATACTATGTGGGATTGAGCATTACTCAACACTTCAAAGAAAATATAGCAATTTTTGTAGCATGTTTCCCGCTTAATCCATATTTAAAAATATTAAAACATTTTATCATATTAAAACTATATATATAAGTTTGAATTGAAATGTAGATATCTACAACTCTTTTAATTCTCTTGATAAAATGTTTTAATATTTTTAGATATGGATTAAGTGGGAAAATACTACAAAATTGCTATATTTCTTTGAAGTGTTGAGTAATGCTCAATCCCACATAGTATTGGAAACACTCTTGGGAAGTGTATTTAAGGCTTGGATTTCCCATTTCCTTGTTGAGTGAAAGAGAACAAGGGGGACTCTCGCGCGCCGCCGCCGCCGTCTCGTCTCGTCTCGGGTCGGGGTCGTGGTCGTGGTCGTGGTCGTGGTCGTGGTCGTGGTCGTGGTCATACGTGTCTTCGACACGTCCGCGCGGATACTATCTTTTTAGAGAAAATTCTTAAGAAAGAAACAAATACAATAGCTTTTGAAAAAATTTACTCATTTTCTGAATCGCGTTGCGATTCTTGGAATCGCGTTGCGATTTTCTGAATCGCGTTGCGATTTTCTTAATCGCGTTGCGATTTTCTGAATCGCGTTGCGATTTTCTGAATCGCATTGCGATTCTTGGAAGATCGCGTTGCGATTCTCTTAATCGCATTGCGATTCTTGGAATATCGCGTTGCGATTTTCTTTTGACCGTTGCGATTTTCTTTTCAACGTTGCGATTTTCTAAATCGCGTTGCGATTTTTATTTCGCGTTGCGATTTTGTTGGTCATTTTCGCAAATCCAAAAAATGTTGGTTAAAATCGTATATTATAACTTTTTTTTGGTCACTGAGGCGATTTTCTCTTTTTAAATATGTTAATGTTTTGTTCGCTTAGCATTTGCCAACATGTTCATTTAATAATTGTCAAAGAAAAATAGTGACAATACACCATTAGTCCTTAAGCTTCATAGTTTGAACTTCAAAGTTCATCCTCTATTTAATTTAGTCATTACATTCATCGATGTTTAAAATGTAAAAAATAAAAGAAAAAGAAGATTTAGATAAATAAACTTATAAACAAGTCGATAAACAAGTTTGTTTATAAACATAAACAACTCGAAAACACGTCAACTCATGTTTGTGGGTTTATTAAATTACCATAAAAATTTTGTTCATTGCTCGCAGGGACGGAGCTCCCTTTGGGCCCAAAGTGGGGCCGATTCCTGTTAAAATTTATATATTCGATATAATTTTGGTTTAATAGTATTTTGGTTCATGTAAAAATAAATATTTAAAATTAAAAAATATAAAAATTATCAAATATTTAATCAAATAGGGATCAAACTAAAGAATGACAAGTTTGTGTTCTCAATTTTTTGGTCTAATTACAATTTAAGTCATTGTAAGTTTAAATATTAGACAAATTAGAGGTTGTCTTTTGAGTTTTGAGCTTTTATTTTTATTTTTTATTTATGGTGAATACAAGGTAATATTTGTACAAAGACTTTCAACTATTGGACAATAAACGCTTATATCCCTACATACGTGCTTGAACTCATGACCTCAAGGATAACAACAATCCCTTAATCACTAAGGTCGTTTGGTTCATGCTGAATTTCGAGTTTAAATACCTAATAAATCTTTATATTTTTCTTAAATAGTCTAATATTTTGACACCTGCCAATATTTAATTATTGATCCGTCCATTATTGCTCGTTTATTTAATTTAATAAAAAAAACCATCAAACGCTATATTCATTTACACCCATATCTAATAT